CTCTCTACGTCTCTCTCTCTCTTCTCTCTCTCTCTCTCTCTCTCTCTCTCTCTCTCTCTCTCTCTCTCTCTCTCTCTCACACACACACACACACACACACACACACACACACACACACACACACACACACACACACACACACACACACACACACACACACACACACACACACACGCACACACTGTAATCTAGCTCCCTCTGCTAAATGAATATCAAATCGTCTCTCGTTTCGCGCTTGGTAACATATGAATTGTTCTCTGTTTATGTAAAGCCTGCCTATTTCAATCTCGGGTGTACCCATGGTTGTTTACTCACCGGCTAAGCTTTCTTCCATCGCACTCCGCTGCGCTCCGGAGGCGTGCCCAGTTTGACTCCGCCCTCCCGATGACGTCAGCAGTGAGTGGGCGTGGTTATCGTTCTGCGTGTGTATTGCGCTAGGAGATGCGTAACTAGGCAGTAAAGTGGCGCGCGGTGTCGGAAGATGCACTTGTGATAAGAGTAGTGACTCTTCGCGAATCACTTCTTTCAAAGTAGGCACACTCTTTTATCGGTCAATCTCTCGCGATCGCTACGAAGATTTTCAAGCACAGCGACGACAACGTAATAGCGTTCACTCGGCCGCCCCCGCGTCCGTGCGTACAGCAGTGGCATTCAACTCAACATTCCCCACAGCGACTAACGGTGTAATAACTACGCGATAAGCACGCATAAGGCGAGAGTCTGTGCAAGCGGAAGATGCTCGCTAACGGTCTCTCGACGCCGTTCACCGTCAAGGACATTCTCAATCTCACCGAGTCGACCGCCATGGAACCCTACCTGGAAACGTTTCAGATGCTGGAACGACAGAGCCTCTGCATGGACTCCCTCGGGCAGCAGCTGGGCGTTGCTTCCGGGCCGCACCAGACCAGCAAGCAGCAATACGACGCCTTCTATCACGCACAGGCGGACACGTTTCACGGAGCGGGAGCAGGGCTTCAGAATCTGCAGTGTTCGGCAGGTTACGGTTTTGCTGCTGCTGCTCCCGCTCACTGCGATGTTAGCTCTGTGGTCGCGGGACCTCGCGCTTCCGTGAAACCCACGCGAGCAGCAAAGCCGCATGAGAAAGGTAAGAGAGCCGAGTATTAGTCATGTAGAAATCACAGCTGTCAGCTACAGTCATGAATAGACGTACATCTCATTAGTCTGATATCTTTCGTTTTTATTTAAGTTATTACAATATAGTCTTATGGTGTCTCTGACACGGGTCGCCTGAACTACATATATATATATA